TATATATATATGTTTAATTAAATATTCTCTTTGGATGACTGCATTTTTCATTTTTCATCTGAATGGTCTTATGCAATATAGTGTGTAGCAGCTCTGGTGTGTGCTGCTGAAAGGATAAATAAAGCTTTTATTTTCAGCATATTTACATGAATATCCGAAGCCCTTCAACAGCTTCAGTTTACTGAATGTCCTACAGCACCTCTCTGGCCTTCAACACAGGGTTTCCTCCCCGACACAGGAGACCTGGTGAGAGGACTGATTCTACCTCCAAGTTTCCAGACTCCCAGTTCTTTGAGGGAATCAAGGCAGGGCAGAGCTATTTCCTAAGGGTTGCCAGCCCCTCACAGCAGCACCTCCCTGTGATGTCGTGTCCCATTCTATAGCAGTATCAAGAACTGTGGCTGCCAGCAAGATCTATGACATTTTGTGGTTTGTCTACTTTACTGAACTCTATATTTATTCAACTCCAGATTAATGGAATAGATTCACATTGACGTTTCTGGGCCCCTGGGTGTGCCAACAAATGGATTTGGGGATTCTATGAACCCCAGGAAATTGTGAGAGTGTGCATATATATGTAAATTATAATATATAATATATTAATTATAATATATATTATATATAATATACACACATTATATATAACATATTACTTATATATAATATAATTAACAGGATTCTCAAAGACAATTGTAACATCTCATAAAAAAGAAAATTAGAAATCACTGGTTTAGAGATTCAAGTCTCCACTTACGGATACATTTAAATGGCATTCATAATTCATTTAAATTAGTTTCTGTGAAGTAGAACACCTGACTACCCTGAAATTCTCAATGCATTTTTAAAAACATACTTATATGGTGTCATAATCATTTAGCACATTGAATGGCTCTTAACTAGTCCTGGATTAGGTGTTTTGGTAAATAAAGCCCTTGCTAAATAGCTATTATCAATATTATACACTACAGACCACCTGAAGGGGACTTTAGGATACACACTTTAGACCATCAGAAGGAGATTTCAGGAGATAGAAATCCTCAGATGACTCAAATTAAGACAGAAAATGCTTGTCGAGCATCCTGCTGTGTGGAAGTATGCCACAATTCCACCAGTGCTCTCCAGTGTGACCACAGCAACACTCCAAGTTGGAGAAATGTGTGTGTCTCTGAGCTCGCTCAGTACAGGGGAATGAGGACCACAGGTTCTAGGGCTAGATGGCTGGTTCACTTTCTAGTACTGTGACTGGTCAAGTGACTTCACTTCTGCAACATGTGATAAGATGGGGGGGTGAGCACATGTTTTGCTGCAGTGATTTAATGAAATAAACGAAGTACCTAGTGCATAATAAATGGTAGCCATTATTATTATATTGCGCCTCAAATAACACCTAGTTGTACATACAAGTATACTTTGTATACTTGACTATACAAATCAACTAAAGGCTACCATGTAGGATTCAATGATGGCAAACATAGTGACAGAACCTAATTCTTTGTGATGGATTTGTTTATGACCAATATAGATGACTAGATGGCCAGATTTGTAATGACTCATTTGCTTATTTCAGAAGTAAAAACACAGCTGTAGCAGACTAAGTGGCTTCAGGCAAAAGGATGCATCTCTAGGGAAATCATGAAGGTATTTGAAATGAAAGTAAAATCTATGTGCCCCCTTGGGAGTTGAATATTCTCCGGCTTATTAAATGTAATAATTTGACAAGAGGGAGAAAGTAGGCTGGTCCTGGAAGAGCTAACTTACATCTTGCCTGAAAGCAGCACACTGAAGGAAAATGTTCTCAACTCCAGCTTCCATACAGCCCTTCAGCTGCTGGGTGACTTAGAGACATTTCTAGCTGGGCTGGATGTGTGGGGTTTCCTGGGATTTCCCTAAACTGACTTTTTACAAAATTCTGTGCAAGCCTAGCAAAACTAGATGTAATCTCCCTTTTGAGAAGGATCTTATTTCACATATTTCAAATTTTCTCGCAAAACCTTGCACTCTGAAGTTTCTGAAGTTCATTTTGATGAATTGAATTGAAGTTCCTCTGACAAATTGGAGTGGTAGGACTTGGTCTATGGGACTCCTTCAGAAATAAATGGGTCACTTCTGGCCCAAACGGGACTGTGACTGTATTTAAGGGGCCCATTTCAGCCTGTGCTTCTCCCAGAAAACTGTCAAAGTTCAAAAACACTAGTTGTCATGCAGAATTTTAGAATTTCTTTTATTTATCTTTATTTCTGGGAGTATTTCCTTCTAGGGCCTGGATTGCAATCTGATTCCTATCTCTATACCTCAGAAGTTTCTAGAATTTGCTTAAAATATGGCTATTTGGATTAGGATTTTCAGAAATTCATGAAGGGCAACTAAAAGGCATGCCTGATGATAATTTCTCCTGCCACAAGATCAAGGCACCCCTTACAAGTCTTTCTCAACACTACATCCCATTTTTTTTCTCTGGTACTGAGTCCAGGACTAGCCTTAGGCAAATCTGCAAAACACATTTCCATTCCCTTACACTTTGGTTGTGTTTTTATGTGCAACTATCTATTGCTAATCATGATGGGAAAGAAATTTTATATATTTGCACAGTCCTTTAAAATTTTCCAGCTCTTTCACTTAGGCTATTTTTCTTAACATTAAAAAGACCCCAGGAAGTGGGCATGAGTAGCCTTATTGTAGAGTTGAGGAAACTGAGGCCCAGTGATGTCTGGATGTGTTCAGAGTTCCAAAGCTGCCTGGAATTAAGTAGTGTGGGGGTTTATGTCCTGACCTAGCTCTTCATGCCTAATTCCTCTGATGCCCATGGTGATCACTTACTAATGTTAGCTACTGAAACCATTCTTTACAGACTTTAAGTTGAGTGCCCTTGGTCTGGTCCATGAAGTAATCAGTAGGCTGCAGCTATCACTTTGGAACCTGACAGATAAGCCTGATTCCTGCCTCCAACTCTTACTCATTGTGAAAACTGAACATCCTATTAATCATTTGTAAAATGAGGTAATATTTACTTGTGGACTGTCAGAAGGAACAAAGGAGTGCCACATTTATCCCAGTGCTTGGCGCACTGCAGGCATCCAATAAAAAGTAGGAACAGTACAATCACTCACAGCAGAGGAACTGTGTTCTACTCACCAGTCTAGGTTTCTTTCTTCTAGCCCATTTGTTTCCTAAAAACAGATTCCAGCCCCTCTACTTTCAAGGTCCTCCAAGAAACTGCTTCCCAAGGTGCGTGTGCATGTGAATGAGCCACTTACGAATCTTAAGATGCAGGTTTGATTTTGTAAGTTTGGGGTGGACTTGCAGTTCTAACAGGCTCTCAGGTGATATCAATCCTGCTTTTGGACCACATTTTGAGCAGAGAGAATGTACCCGGTGAGCTGGACTTAGAGACAAGATTCTTCAGGACCTGTGGTTCTCAAACTTCACAGTTCATCATAATTACATGGAGGGCTTTTAAAATAAAATTAAAAAATATTGTGTCCCACCCCAAAGCAGGTCTGAGGTGGGGTCATAAAATGTAATTTCTAACCTGTTCCCAAGTAATGTTGATGCTGCTGGTCTGGGGACTTAATTGTTCTAAGCTTATCAGGGGGTACTGAAGACCAGAAGGAAATTTTGTTCCAGTGTTTACTGATTTTCAGGAGGGGATGAATCTTCTTGAATAAGCTCCCTCCAAAGACTTTCCCATCACCTGCTCCCTAATCGGTCACCCTCCCCTCGTGAAATTAGCAGGGGCCCTTTACCTTGTAGACATTGATGGGGATGTCAATGATGATATGCAGCAGGTCTCCCAGAGCCAGGCTGGCTATCAGGATATTAGGGCCATTTCGCATGCACTTGTTCTTGTAAATAATTCTCAGCAGTGTGGAGTTTCCGATGATGCCCAGCACGAACACCAGGCAGGACACCACGGTGTTGATGTACTTGAAAGTCTCTTTGATTTCGATGGATCCTTCGCACAGGGGAGGGGAGAGGGCGTGAGGCGGGGCTCCAGCGGGATTCCCTGCCTTACGCGTCTTCGGAGGCGCGGACGACCACGGCGAGCTGGCGTTGGACCTGGCGGGCCAGGAGGTCTTAGGAGGGGGCGTCATTATCTCTCCGGTCCCCAGAAGTGGCGGAGTGGCCCCAGTCAGTGGGGATCCCCTCTCTTGTCCCTTGACCCCCGCCACACCACTGGCAAGGATCAGGGCCACCAGGGCGTGTCCGCACAGGCTTGGCGGCGGCTGCATAGTGCTACCTGCTCGGCGGGGGCGTCGCGTGGCCGCTCCGCAGCTTTCAGAGTCTGGAGATCAGCAGAGGGAGGAAGACAGGACGCCTGGGTCAGCCACCTCAGCCGCGCCTCTGCAAACCGCTAGCTCGGGGCGCAGCCGCGCCCCTGCTATCCGCGCGCAAAAGTAACTCAAGTTTGCGCGCCCGTGGAAAGCCGCCCGGTGGGACCCG